ACCGAGACTCATTTTTTCCTCATTCAGGACAATGCTGCCTCATGAATGAGGGTTGGCTACGACTCTGTTTTCTATCCACCCCAACAAATGGACAGGAGGGCAGACGTGTAAAAACCTTAGGAAGAGCCAAGAGGCAGCAAGGAAGTAAAACTCTGGCTAGGAAGGGAGAGCTGAACAAAAGAGATTAAAGAGGAAAGAAGAGAGGTAAGGCCCAGTTAATCACTTCTGAAAGCAGAGTCACCAAAGGACACCAATTGGGTGGTGCCCACAAGTGCCCATCAGGAAGAGCTTAGGAGGCGTGATTGACATGACTCCAGAGGAGTTGGTCTTTTCAAAGGGATTAGATGAATCAACAAACAAGATATAGGCTACAGGATCGACTTCCTATCTCAGGCTGGAAAGGTTAGGCAATAAGGATCTGAACTAGCAAGACAAAGTTTAGAATAGAATAATAATAGAATTCGAAGGGACCTTGGAGAGAGAGAGAGAGAGAGAGAGAGAGAGAGAGAGAGAGAGAGAGAGAGCGCAAAAATAATTTTACGAAAAGTGCAAACATAATTTCATTGGAAGTTTATTTTGGTAGTACAGGACATTTCTGAATACACCAAAACTCCAAATCCTTACAAAAGATGATCCTTGGTGATTTCAACAGGTGCAAGCTCCTCACTGCAGGATCACAAATATAGTTGAAAGTAGTTTCACATACTTTATTGTTTAACACAAACATCACATCTTCCAAGCATATGCAACAGTTTGTACAATTCAAAACATTATACAGTTCTGAAGATAAAATACATAAAAATATCATCCAATATTTTAAGGATAAAAAGTCACATTTTTATTATTGTAAAAATTACAAAAGCAATGATAAAATACCATGATGGGTTAAATAGTTCACTAATTTAAAATGACATTTTTGATAAAAAAGTGAGGTGTAAAAAAAACAACAGTTGTCATCAAAAGATTTCTCAGTAGAAAGAAAACGGAACTTCACTGTTCAAATACATGAATATTGCAACAGGTATCTCTTAGTGAAGAGATGGTGATAAGAACGGATACATAAAGGATACATAAAAACAGGCAAAATATTAAATATTTTGTTTACCATAAGCATCACAACTACTTAACAACAGTAAATTAGGAGTAAAACTCAACTTTATTACAAAAAATACACATCAGACAGAATGTTACCAAGTCAGAATCACATTTACAGATATTTCAGAAACAAAAAGATAAATGTGACAGAAGAAATCAAAATTATAGAGGTCACAGCCACATACTGTGTGTCATGATTATTTACTAGTCAAAACATAACTTACACATTTTAAACAGCAGCCAAGGATAAAATTATTCCCAGGTGGAAAAATAGAAATCTTTTATCAATCACTGGCCACACACTGGTCATTTAAAAGAGAGCTGAGGTTTTCTTTCTGGATCTAAGAACCATCGCCAGGGCTAAGTTTACGCCAGGCAGAAAACTATACAATCTATTATCAATCACTGGCACACCCAGCATTAAAAGGGGCCATTGAGATGTTTTCTGGTTCTAAGAACCAACATCCTGCCTAAATTAAGCCAGGCAAGAAATCTACTCAGGGTTTCAATGGCCACATCTAGAATTGAAAAAGGCCAACAGATTTATTTTCCAGTTCGAGGACCTAACGTCTCACCCTAGCAAAAAAATCTAGTTATTAATTTATTCAGATGGCAATACCTCATAACCAAGTTCAACACCAGATTTACTTTTGAGTCTAAGAGATCTGGCTGCAACTAACATTATTTCTCAGGGTATGAAGGTGGGAGGGAAGAGATCCAAAAGGATTCCTTTACAGTTTGAGACTCAGCTGGGGATCCTCAGGCACTCAGGAGCACTGTTGACTCCTGCCGTGTGATTTGTCCTCGCTGCTCACTCAGCGACGGAAAGGGTCTCCCTTCCAGGGTGAATCTCACAGAGTGTCTGCTCAGGGACTGAACGAGCCTGGGAGCCGACGGGCCACTTTCTCATTCAGGGTGAGGGTCACAGAGTGGTAACTCAGGGGCTGGAAGACCCCCATCAGGAGCAGAATGGGGTGTTTAGGCAAGGACCCTTGGCCACGCCTCCTTCACCCCCTGCCACTCGCCTCAGCCCATTCACAGGCAGCTTTCCTCCTCTGCTGCCCACCACCACCAATGGGCCCTTGGCCCTCTGCCCTTTGGCCCGCCAATTCACCTGATACCCTTTGTCCCGGGACTTTGGGTGCACGGGATGAGTAGCCCCAGCCAATCGGGTGGCAGGCAGGAGCCACAGTGCTGCTGGGGCAGCGTGCGATGGGGGAGCGCAGGGCCTGTGGGCGGTGGCTGCTCCACACGCTTGGGCCCTTACAGCTCTGTCCCCAGGACCGGAGGGAGGGGGAGTGGTGGCAGCAGTCAAAGCAGATGGGGCCATCGGGCAGTCAAGCGAAGGTGTATTTGGGGGGACCAGAGAAGGAGAGAGGGGCACCTCAAGACAGCTTGGCTCGCCACTCAAATGAAACAGGGGAGGAGGAGCAAGACCGGTGTGGGGAGGGAGAGAGGCTGGGAGGGTGCACAGGTGAACACCAAGGCCAGTGTGGCTTTTGCCCGCCCTTCTCTCCCAAGGCGCAAGCAGTCGCATCAGCCCCCCAACCCTTGCCAGTTGCCCTCCCTTCCCTCCCGGCGCAGTCGCATCAGCCCCCCAGCCCTTGCCATTTGCCCGCCCTCCCCTCCCAAGGCGCAAGCAGTCGCATCAGCCCCCCAGCCCTTGCCATTTGCCCGCCCTCCCCTCCCAAGGCGCAAGCAGTCGCATCAGCCCCTAGCCCTTGCCCTTTGCCCTCCCTCCCCTCCCAAGGCGCAAGCAGTCGCATCAGCCCCTAGCCCTTGCCCTTTGCCCTCCCTCCCCTCCCAAGGCGCAAGCAGTCGCATCAGCCCCCCAGCCCTTGCCAGTTTGCCCGCCTCCCCTCCAAGGTGCAAGCAGTCGCATCAGCCCCTCAGCCCTTGCCAGTTGCCCGCCCTTCCCTCCCAAGGCACAAGCAGTCGTATCAGCCCCTCAGCCCTGGCCAGTTGCCCTCCCTTCCCTCCCAAGGCGCAAGCAGTCGCATCAGCCCCCCAGCCCTTGCCAGTTGCCCGCCCTTCCCTCCCAAGGCGCAAGCAGTCGCATCAGCCCCCCAGCCCTTGCCAGTTGCCCGCCCTTCCCTCCCAAGGCGCAAGCAGTCGCATCAGCCCCCCAGCCCTTGCCCTTTGCCCTCCCTTCCCTCCCAAGGCGCAAGCAGTCGCATCAGCCCCCCAGCCCTTGCCAGTTGCCCGCCCTTCCCTCCCAAGGCGCAAGCAGTCGCATCAGCCCCCCAGCCCTTGCCAGTTGCCCTCCCTCTCCTCCCAAGGCGCAAGAAGTCGCATCAACCCCCCAGCCCTTGCCAGTTGCCCGCCCTCCCCTCCCAAGGCGCAAGCAGTCGCATCAGCCCCCAGCCCTTGCCAGTTGCCCGCCCTCCCCTCCCAAGGCGCAAGCAGTCGCATCAGCCCCCCAGCTCTTGCCATTTGCCCGCCCTCCCCTCCCAAGGCGCAAGCAGTCGCATCAGCCCCCCAGCCCTTGCCATTTGCCCGCCCTCCCCTCCCAAGGCGCAAAAAGTCGCATCAGCCCCCCAGCCCTTGCCAGTTGCCCTCCCTTCCCTCCCAAGGGGCAGTCGCATCAGCCCCCCAGCCCTTGCCATTTGCCCGCCTTCCCCTCCCAAGGCGCAAGCAGTCGCATCAGCCCCCCAGCCCTTGCCAGTTGCCCTCCCTCCCCTCCCAAGGTGCAAGCAGTCGCATCAGCCCCCCAGCCCTTGCCATTTACCTGCCCTCCCCTCCCAAGGCGCAAGCAGTCGCATCAGCCCCCCAGCCCTTGCCAGTTGCCCTCCCTCCCCTCCCAAGGCGCAAGAAGTCGCATCAACCCCCCAGCCCTTGCCAGTTGCCCGCCCTCCCCTCCCAAGGCGCAAGCAGTCGCATCAGCCCCCGAGCCCTTGCCAGTTGCCTGCCCCTCCCTCCCAAGGCGCAAGCAGTCGCATCAGCCCCCCCAGCCCTTGCCATTTACCCGCCCTCCCCTCCCAAGGCGCAAGAAGTCGCATCAACCCCCCAGCCCTTGCCAGTTGCCCTCCCTCCCCTCCCAAGGTGCAAGCAGTCGCATCAGCCCCCCAGCCCTTGCCATTTACCTGCCCTCCCCTCCCAAGGCGCAAGCAGTCGCATCAGCCCCCCAGCCTTGCCAGTTGCCCTCCCTCCCCTCCCAAGGCGCAAGAAGTCGCATCAACCCCCCAGCCCTTGCCAGTTGCCCGCCCTCCCCTCCCAAGGCGCAAGCAGTCGCATCAGCCCCCCCAGCCCTTGCCAGTTGCCCTCCCTCCCTCCCAAGGCGCAAGCAGTCGCATCAGCCCTTGCCATTTGCCCGCCCTCCCCTCCCAAGGCGCAAGCAGTCGCATCAGCCCCCCAGCCCTTGCCATTTGCCCTCCCTCTCCTCCCAAGGCGCAAGCAGTCGCATCAGCCCCCCAGCCCTTGCCAGTTGCCCTCCCTTCCTCCGCGCAGTCACATCAGCCCCCAGCCCTTGCCATTTGCCCGACCTCCCCTCCCCAGGCGCAAGCAGTCGCATCAGCCCCCCAGCCCTTGCCAGTTGCCCGCCCTCCCCTCCCAAGGCGCAAGCATTCCCAGCAGCCACACTGCCCTTGATGTTTCCCTGTGCGCCGCCCCGCCTCCCCTTGGTAGGCATAAACTGCTCTGGTCTTGCTACTCCTCTTTTGTTTGAGCTGTCTTTGTGAAGCCCCCTTGAGATGCCCCTCCCTCCATCGTTTTATTTCTGGTTCTAAGAACCATCGCCATGGCTAGAATTACACCAGGCAGAAAACTATAAAATCTATTATCAATCACTGGCCACACTGGTCATTTAAAAGGGCCAATGAGGTTTTATTTCTGGTTCTAAGAACCATTGCCATGGCTAAAATTACACCAGGCAGAAAATTATAAAATCTGTTACCAAGCACTGGCCACACTGGTCATTTAAAAGGGCCAATGAGGTTTTCTTTCTGGTTCAAAGAACCATCGCCAGGGCTAAAATTACGCCAGGCAGAAAACTATAAAATCTATAATCCATCAACAGCCATGGCTAGGATTAAATAGGGCCACTGAGGAGGATTTTTTGGTTCTAATAACCATTGCCATGGCTAAATCTACAGCAGGCAAGAATGCTCTAAAATCTATCATGTAAAGGTGAGTTGTGATTGACTTGGTGAAGGGGCATTCTTGATGGAGATCATATTCGTTCTTGCATTCGGTTCCTCCTTCTTCCTTCAACGCCGCAGGCTGACAGCTGAGTCTTCTGTCTTCTAAGGTGGTGTAGAGTACATGCCTTGGAGATAAAAAAAGACCTAACATTACTTCAGCTGCCATTGGAGTTTTACTTCTAAGAATGCACAGTATGCAGTGCTTACTATTACTTCAGTTGCAGGTGTTACCTACCTAGGAAGGACCATCCAGTAGTGGAAGACCACCCACCTTCCCTCCATATCCTAAAACTTTGAAAAATACAAGTCCCAGCTAAACTTACCTCACAACGTAGCAGGCCACATCACCGCCGAAGGTCTTGAGCTGGAGACATTTTCATCCTCTCTTCTTTCTTCTTCGTTCTTTTCCTTCTTCCTCTGCCCATGTCCCTTTCAAGGAACATTGGCACCAGGTGCGCAATTGTTCCTCCACTCAATCTCAGAGATTCAAAAACTACAAAATCTTCTATAGATCAACGGCCACACCTAGCATTAAATAGGGCCGTTGAGGTTCTCTTTCTGGTTCTAAGAACCATTGCCAGGGCTAGAATTATGCCAGGCAGAAAACTATAAAATCTATTATCAATCACTGGCCACATACTGGTCATTTAAAGGGGCCAATGCGGTTTTCTTTCTGGTTCTAAGAACCATCGCCAGGGCTAGAATTATGCCAGGCAGAAAATTATAAAATCTATTATCAATCACTGGCCACATACTGGTCATTTAAAAGGGCCAGTGAAGTTTTATTTCTGGTTCTAAGAACATTGCCAGGGCTAAAATTACGCCAGGCAGAAAACTATAAAATCTATTACCAATCACTGGCCACATACTGGTCATTTAAAGGGGCCAATGAGGTTTTCTTTCTGGTTCTAAGAACCATCGCCAGGGCTAAATTTATGCCAGGCAGAAAATTATAAAATCTGTTACCAAGCACTGGCCACACACTGGTCATTTAAAAAAGCCAGTGAAGTTTTCTTTCTGGTTCTAAGAACCATTGCCAGGGCTAAAACTATGCCAGGCAGAAAACTATAAAATCTATAATCCATCAACAGCCATGGCTAGGATTAAATAGGGCCACTGAGGAGGTTTTTTTGGTTCTAATAACCATTGCCATGGCTAAATTTACAGCAGGCAAGAATGCTCTAAAATCTATCATGTAAAGGTGAGTTGTGATTGACTTGGTGAAGGGGCATTCTTGATGGAGATCATATTCATTTTTGATGGAGATCATATTCATTCTTGCGTTCCATTCCTTCTTTTTCCATCAATGCTGCAGGCTGACAGCTGAGTCTTCTGTCTTCTAAGGTGGTGTAGAGTTAACCAAAACCTAACATTACTTCAGCTGCCATTGGAGTTTTACTCCTAAGAATGCACAGTACGCAGTGCTCACTATTAGCTCAGTTGCAGATGTTACCTACTTAGGAAGGACCATCCACTTCCCTCCATACCCCAAAACTCTGAAGAATATAAGACTCGGCTAAACTTACCTCACAGCGTAGGAGGCCACATCACAGCCGAAAGACTTGAGCTGGAGACATTTTCATGCTCTCTACTTTCTTCTTTCTTCTTCTGCTTTTTCCTCAGTCGTGCCCAGCAAGCGTTGTCTCTTTCGAGGCACTTTTGGCAGAGATGTGCAATTCTTCCCCCACTCAGTCTGCAAAGCTAAAAAACCCTAACCTCCACGGCCATAGCTAATATGGCCGTTGAGGTTTTATTTCAGGTTCTAAAAACCATCGCCATGGCAAGAAAACAATACCGCAATCAAGGAACGGTCAAAGAAGCTAACAACAAATAGCACAACAAAGGACCTCCAAGACCATTTTCAACAACACTGAAAGAAGCTACTTGAACATAAACTGACAGCAAACCACACTCTCTTCTACTAGCACTGATGATGTTCTCTAGTTTGCTAATGAAACGTCTACAAGAAAACCACCAAGCTCAGAGAGCACCAAGGACGCCTTATTTCTAGTGTGAGGCGATTGCAAAGGATTGCCTTCCAGTTTGAGTCTCACTGAGGGGGTCCTCAGGCATTGGAGGAGTGGACCCTGTTCACTCGACCAGTGTGATTCGCCCTCAGTGCGTGCTCAGGGACTGAAAGGGTCACCCAGCCCCACCCCAGAAAGGACTTCCAGTGTGAGTCCCCCACAGTGTTTGCTCAGGGATTCAATGAGACAGGTAGCAGTTTGCTTCCCCGGCTCATTCAGTGTGAGTGTCACAGAGTGGAAGCTCAGGGACCGAAAGACCTCCACCAAGGGGGGCATCACCAAAATCGCCATGTCTGGGGGTATGTGGGATGCTCCTGGGACCCTGTCTAATTCTAAGAACCGCAGCTAATAGCTAAAATTGTGACAGCTCAGAATTTCTTTTTACTATTGATACTTTGTAAACAATTTTTGCAGGAATAAACATGTTGCAAACAGTTATCTGCCAGGCTATCCACACTTTCATGATATACTGGAGAATGAATTAAACCATCTCTTACTGTTGATGTCTTCTTCGTCGTCTATATGGATTCATGCCTTTGAAATTAAAAAAAAAAAATCAACATCACCAAATGACCAGCTTATGTCCAGAGACTAGAAAAACAATCAATCAAAGGGGATTTTTGTGTTTGATCCTATGAGTGAAAGAAGACAATATACAATGAATTGAAACATTGTCCCCTTGAGAATTCTTCAGACCATGCAATTAGTGGTCTTTTACATGTTTTGCTTCATTTAAGGACTTGAGCCTTGACTAAAATTTTCTCAGGTCCCAAGAGTTGACTTGGGAGAAAATAAGAGCAACTCCAAGTACTGAAGCAATTTCCTGAGAGTTAAGCCAGGTCCTGGGCCTGAAGTAATTTTAGTTAACTTTCACCTTTACTTACTTGAAATACTTTTTAGCCTGCAAGGACATGGCTAAGATTTTTTTTCAGACTTTACCCCCAAGCTAATTTTAACTCTTATTCCCTGTGGTGGTTTGGGTCCCTTTTAAAAGGGCAAAATAATAATAAAGTTAGAAGGGACCTTGGAGGTCATCTAGTCCAACCCCCTGCTCAGGCAGGAAACCCTATACCATTTCAGACAAATGGCTGCCCAGGTTGAGATTATCTCAGGTTCCACTAATATTTTACTCTAAGAACCTGAGCCTTGGCTAAAATTACTTCAGGCCTCCAGAATTGACTTTATTTCAAGAAAATAAGTCCAATCCCCTGACCTGAAGTAATTTTAGTTAACTTTTTTGTTTAGTTACTTCAAGTAGCTAGTCCCCTACATATTTTGCTTCTTTTAAGGACCTGAGCCCACTAAAGTTACCTTAAATCCCAAGAAATCACTTTATTCCTGAGAGCAAGGTCAGCTCCTGAGTAATTTTATCTTTACCTTTAAAAGTATTTTTAATTCTGACTTACCTATGGGGGCTTGGTCCTTCTAAAAGGACACGGCTGAGATTAGCTCAGGTTCCACCAACATTTTAAAATGTGCACCTTGGCTAAAATTACCTGAAGAATTCTTCAAGAGCTGACTTTATTTCAAGAAAGGCAACTCCAGGGACGGAAGCCATTTTCCCTTTCAGCTAATTTTAATGCTTGTTCACCTGTGGTCATTTAGCCCTTTTAACTGCACCTGCCTAAAATTGGCTCAGCTTTCTGCAATGGCTAAGATTATCTCAGACTTTACTCCCAAGCTAATTTTCACTCTTATTCACCCGTGGTGGTTTGGTCCTTTTTTTTTTTCTAAAAGGACATGGCTGAAATTACCTCAGGGTCCACCCAACTTTTAAGAAGTTGGGCTCTGGCTAGAATGACTTCAAGGCACCGCGCTTTGCGTTATTCCCCGAGGGAAAGACGGAGAATAAGTACCGTCTTTAGTGACCTGTGGTATTGGCGTCCTTTGAGTGAAGCCCCCTTGAGGTATCACCTCAGCCCCCCCCCCCTCCTGGCGTTTTACTCCAAAGAAGACACGCCGCGCTTAAAGCGACCCCGGGGGCTATCCTGACTCCCCGAGAGCAATAAGCTCTTCATTCGCTCAAGGACTCGCGCCCCCCTCAGGCCCCTCACAGCTGGAAAAGCCCCCGCTAGAATTACCTCAAAAGCTCAAAAGGCCCTGCCCGGCCTCGAGCTCGAGGGCTTGGGCCGCGGGAGCGCCGGAGAGAGGCATTTGAGCCCCCCGGCGCCCCGCAGCAGCCACCCTTTCGGGCACCGAGGGACGCGGGAGCGGCGTCTGCGCTCGCTCCGCTTTTTGCCCTCAGGCTGAGGAGCCCGCCGACTTTTTAAACGTCCCCGCCTCTCGGCGCGAGGAGAGGCCGCTCAGCCAATCCGAGGGACGCGTTTTCGGAGCAGCCAATGGCGGGCGTGATGGGCGTCCAGAAAGGTGGCCCCAGGGCGCTGGGCGGGAAGGGCGCGCGCTCGTTCGCGCGCAAGCACAGGTGCGATCGCTCGGCTGGTTCCCAGGCTCGCGGGGCGGTTGCCGTGGAGACGGCCGTGGAGCGCGGGAAGGCTCATCACGGCCAGGTGGGCTTCGGCCGCACAGGTGAAGGCGATTAGGCGGCTGCCAGGCTGGGGGTGCGTGTGCGTGCAATGCCTTCTTCTCAAGGCTTCGCCCCGCCTCCTAGGGGACCCTTGGACTACAAACCCCATCCGCCAGGCAGCCAACGGGTCTCCCCTTGTGCACGGGGGGCCCCAGTTTTTAAAACATCCCCAACATTTTTGCAGCAGTGCTTTTTAGGATTGAGAGATCCCGAGGGTGACTTTGGGCTTCTGATGAGGAATGCTTTGGATTGCAAGTCCCATCAGCCACCTCCGGGGTGGGGGGGTGTTGATAGGGATGGTCCCTTCTTGCAACAGAGCTTTTTTTTTTTTTTGCTCCTGTTGAGCAGGTTTCCCCCCTGCTTAAAATGCTCAGTTTTTACAAAAAAAATCTGAAAATGTAATACATACCAAAAATAATAAAAATGAAATTATGGTTATATGTACAGTATATATGAAATACTTTGGACTACAGGTCCCATTAGCCAGCCTTGTGTGTGTGTGTGTGTGTGTGTGTGTGTGTGTGTGTGATGGGGATTGTTTCTCTTGCAACAGATTGCCCTTCTGGTTGGTGGGTCATCCCCTCCACCTAACATTTAAAGCTCTTTTTCTGTTTTTTTGCTTGCATCTTCTCCATCCTGTCACAATCTTGCCAGGCAGCCCTTGGTTTTATTTTAATTTGTTATTATTTTCAGTCTTTTTCTTTTAAGAAAAAACAACCCAGGACTGATTTGCTTTGCTTTGCTTTGTTTTGCTTTTCTAGGGATTCTGCTAACATGTTATAATAGAGTCTCTGATACAAAGTGTCTTGCCCAGTGAAAGAAATGGACTCAAATTTGAAACTATTTCTTCCTTTTTCTATTATTGGAACTCTTCCCAGCCACAGTTAAATGTTTTCAAAAGAAGCCCGATACATTTATATCCCGATCATAAGGATTTTAATAACTTTTAATGAGACCCCTCTCCACATTGTCCACCCTGCTGCGCCCTCCAGATAGGGGCCTATATACCATTTCAGAGAAATGTCTATGGAGATTCTCAGTCATCCAGGACATGGTTGTCCCAAAGGTGGTTTTTCAACAGGCAACTGGACTTCCTTGTTTTTCCTTGAAGACGTTTCACCTCTTCAGCTCTGACTAGATCAGTGGTTCTCAACCTGTGGGTCGGGACCACATTTGGGGTCGAACGACCATTTCACGGGGGTCGCCAAACAACGCAGTCCGCCATTTTTTTCCCCCTTGTCCTTAGCTGTGCTACTCCCTTTTATTCTATTGGCTTTTGAAAGCCAATAGAATAGACTCTCTTGAATAGAGTCTAATTCTATTGGCTTTCAAAAGCCAATAGGAATTGTCCAGGCTGTCTCTGCTCTGCTGAGCCCGCCAAAAGTCCCAGTCTGCAAACAGTGCTGCACCAGTTGAGTAGTCCTCGACTTACGATCGGTTGAGTAGTCCTCGACTTACGACCGGTTGGGGGGTCGCGGCATTAAAAAGGTTGAGAACCACTGGACTAGATGATGTGGAATGGAAGCATATATGTTCCTTGCAGACAGATGGTCATTTACATTCTTTTAGAGCAGGGGCCTAATTCTGGGAGTTGAAGTCCACAAGTCATAAAAGGGCCAAGTTTGAAGACCCCTGTTTTAGAGAGTAATAGTAATAGTAGTAAAGTTGGAAGGGACCTTGGAGGTCATCTAGTCCAACCCCCTGCTCGGGCAGGAAACCCTACACCATTTCGGACAAATGGCTGTCCAGTCTCTTCTTAAAAACTTCCAGTGTTGGAGCATTTACTGCTTCTGGAGGCAAGCTGTTCCACTGATTAATTGTTCTCACTTTCAGGAAGTTTCTATTTAGTTCTAGGTTGCTTCTCTCCTTGATTAGTTTCCACCCGTTGCTTCTTGTCCTGCCTTCAGGTGCTTTGGAAAATAGCTTAATTCCCTCTTCTTTATGGCAGCCCCTGAGATATTGGAATACTGCTATCTATGTCCTCAGGATCACCTGAGTGATGCAAATGGGTGTGGAGCCTTCTTTCAGCAGTTCCTGCTCCACTCCAGCCCCCCTAATCATCTTTGTTGCTCTTCTCTGCACTCTTTCCAGAGTCTCAACATCTTTTTTACATTGTGGTGACCAGAACTGGGTGCAATATTCCAAGTTTAATTTTATCATTCTCTCTTCTTGGACCTACTTTACCAATCTCTCTGCACAAGGTGTCCATCTTGTGACATATACCACACGAAGCGGCATATAAGTCTAAGTGCTATTACTAGTGCTACTGCTGTCTCTTTTGTTCTTCTCTCAAAGGGTGGCTGCATCTGCTTACAAAACGCATTTCTGAAACTGGGTCTGGGGGGGGGTCAAAGTACAAGGTTGGTTCCTCAAGCAAGACAGGAATTCTCTCAGATAAGGAGCCTAAATTTCAATCCACCGGAATCGCGTGGAGACATCTGCCTGCTTTTGCTGGCTGTGCTCCAATTAACCGTGCTTGTTCCAATCCAAGACGCCAGCCATCAAAAAACCAGGGCACTGCTCGTTTTGATGAAGTTTTCTTCCCATCGAAGTGTATTTTTAAGTTAGAAAGGGTCATCTCTTCACTTGGCTGAATGTCCACATCTGGGGGTGGAAGAGCTCCCCCCAAAAGCTAATTCAGCACTATGGTTAAGGTACTGGGTTACACTCTGAAGTGGGGTTTAATGATTGTTAACGTGTGAACTGAATAAAATATTATCCCAACAGGCTGTCAAGCAAATGGTTGCATCCACTCTCCTGTTTAGATTTCGACCTTGCAGGGTAGAGTCTTTCCATTGTAGTTGCAGCAGAGATGCTCAGTCAGGTAAAATCAATCTCTAATAATCCCAAGCAGCACAGACCGGAGGCAGAGGCAAAGCCTAGCCAGAATAGAACTAATAATCTACAGCTGTGGGGAATGAGGATACCGAATGGAAACGCTGAGCTCCTGAAAAGAAGCCAAACCACAAGGCAGATCTCCAGTTTTCTCAGTTTCATGCCCTCGCGGTGCTTTTCTTGACTTTCTGGAACAGCAAGTCTCTCGGTTGGGTTTCCTTTCCCCTCTTTTCATCAATGCAAAAAGTGCTATTATTTCAAAATGCACTGATAAGATGAAAGGTAAGTAAATATGAGCCGAGGTGGCGCAGCAGTTAGAGTGCAGTACTGCAGGCCACTTTAGCTGACTGTGTTCAGCAGGTCAGTGGTTCAAATCTCACCGGCTCAAGGTTGACTCAGCCTTCCATCCTTCTGAGGTAGGTAAAATGAGGACCCAGATTGTTGGGGGCAATGTAAATATATATACACATTGCTTACTGGTGTACACCGCTTAGAGAGTGCTTGCACTTAAAGCGGTATATAAGTCTCATAAATAAATAAAATAAATAAATAAAATCTGGGCTGAGGCTTGATCCACCATGTTTGCTGGACCCAAATTCTTGGGGACTTGGAGACGAAACCACCAATTCTAGCTTCTCAAGACTAGAAAGCAACTCAAAAACCTTTCCTTTACTCCGAGGGGCGGATAATGTGCAGGCAAGGCCTCCGTTCTTTTCGGGAAACCCTCCAAATCTCCCCACTCAATTGGGCTTTTCAAACCTCAGTGCTCGTCACCTGAACCTCACGTGAAAAATACTAAACACACCTTCACATCTGCCTGGAAAGATGTTTCACCAGAATAGTGTGCTGTTGGGTTGCTAGGCAAAGGGAAAATGGAGTGGAGAAATCCATTTTTCTGTCTCTGATTGAGGGTACAGGGACTGCACAGACCACATCCACTTGCAGACTTAATACGTGTGTGAACATCTGGATTCAAGGACATGATGGGATCTCAGAACTTGCATGCACAACCCAGCAGAGGTCTCTTTCGCGGTGGTTTAACACCTTGCCAATAGGCTATTCTCAATGTGCCCCAAATTGCATTCACCTTTTGAATCAGCAAAGTTGGGGAAGCCAGAAAGCCAGAAGGGATTATAGGGCTTCAGATAAGAATCAGATCAGATGTAATTAAAAAGCTGTGAGAAGAACTTGAAAGCAGATGTGGTGGGACCTCGTGCTATGAAGAGCCCCACAAGGTGTGGAATCTGGTGGGAGATGGAGGGAGGGGGGAGGGAGGGGGCTGGTTTGGCCCTCTGGGGTTTCAGGAATCAGCTCTTTCTTTAATGAGTTCCTTCCGGAGACCACGCCTTCTGCGCACACCTTCTGTGGCAAGACTCACCGCGGCTTTATAAACCGCCTGCAAACACCTGGGGAACCTCAGGTGTCTGAGTCCAGGCACAGCAGAAGAGAGAGCGGGGAAAATGTCCAAGCATCAAACAAAGGATGCTCAGGAGGATATTCCACAGATGCCAAGCAAAGGTAGGAAGTCATCCTTTCTCTCGCCTCCCAGACCGCTGACTTGTCCCTCAAGGCGGCCTGTCCTCGGCCTTCCTTAAAAGACCCACCTCACCCTTGCCAAGGTGGGGTTACACCCCACAGGTGTTAAGAATAAAGGAGTTGGAAGGGACCTCCGAGGTCCTCTAGTCCAGCCCCCTGTTTCAGCAGGAGATCGGATGCCATTCCAGACAGACGGTTGTCCAATCTCTTCTTAAAAACCTCCAATGATGGAACCCCCAGAATTTCTGGAGGCAAAACATTCCTCTGATGAGTTGATCTGGGATTATAAAATAACAGAATGCCAGAGTTAAAAGGGACCTC